TTAGTGGGTGGCAAGGATTTTACAAGTTGTTTATTCAAGTGAATATTGTATCATTGTAAAAGTAGGAATAAACAGACGGCGATCAACAAGGAACTGTAACAAGGAACGTTAGATTGATTGATTAATTCGTTATTTATTACGGCTTGTCAACCTTTTACCGATTATTTAAAGCCAGGAAATATAACGATTTAGTGATACAGTTTCTACTATTTAATCCATAGCTGGGGGAGAGGTGGATGAAGGTTAGTCTCTACATTAAACTTGCATTTCCATCTTTGTTATTTAAGCAGAGATCATATTTACTTTTCACTTTTATTTTTTAACAATGCCTTTCATCATGTGAAAGACCCGCACGTCACTCGAGATAGAAAGTTATGGTGTAAGAGTCATAGTTTATGTGAATATCTGGGGAAGGTAACGGTTAGCACTGGACATGAATAGGTTAAGATTGTAGCGGTCGGGGAATCAACCTGTTGGAACCTGGTTTCACAAAGAAGTGGTTCAAGGAAGATGCTGTTCTAGTGGAAGTTACTTCTCACCAATGGAATACGGAGGTTTTTTTTTACAATATAAATGGCATGGCGAGTCCTAGCCGTGAAGATTAGAACTGGCGGAATAAATTGTATATATATATATATATATATATATATATATATATAAAGAAAGAAAGAACAGTAAGATATATAATCCGGTGTTCTTATAGATATTTTATTTTTACAAAATACTGCTGAATGTAAATTTACAGAGCATTAATATTATAAATTAATTGATTTAAAAATTAGCTTGATTTAATTTAGTTAGAAAATTAAATTCGGAGTTTTCAGCTTCCATTTTGAAACATGGTTAGATCTGTGTAGCGAAAAAAAACATATTTTAAATCAATTATTTTAAATAAAAAAAAACATATTTTAAATCAATTAATTTTAATATATATATATATATATATATATATATATATATATATATATATATATATATATATATATAAACACGATGAATCTTCACTTAGAAATATTATAAAGGCATGCTACCACAATAGACCTGAATAAAAAAATCAAATTAATTATCTACTGTAAAAGATTTAAGACAGCTAACCATATCCTCAAAAATAACAAAACAACACCAAAATCAAAATTACAATGAACAAAATTGTCTATGAGTTCAAATGCACCTTATGGAACTGCGTCACTGATCAAACCGAATTCATAAATAATTAAATCGGACACACAGCTACATGACTATACAGATGCCTTACTTTACACCTAGCTGAACACCAGAGTCCTAATAATACCCATTTAAACACAGACACAAACCTACCAGAATCCATTCGAAACATATTAGTAGAAAACCCATAAATAACTTCATCTACCTGTAAAAAACGATTAAAAATAATGGAAGCCTTAATAATAAAAAAGAAAAAGCCAACTTTTAAGAATAATAACTACAAATTAGGCCACAACCATGTTCGGAAAAATATAGCAACTCTATAACACACTACAAGCATACACGTAACGCACACACTCAATTAAACTGAATTAAAATAAATAAATAAATAAAATAAAATCATCCTTGATAATAGCTAAAAGTATAGCCGAAAAGCGCTCAGAACTATAGAATATTTGGTCATTTTCTGCACACTCTGTCTCCCAAAAAGAAAGCTCTTATGCGAACACAAGATAAAACTTAAAGAGAAAACTTAACCTTAGTACCTTGTCTGTCGTTTTAATTAAACATGCATAAATGAAGCATTGCTTAAATACTCAAATACAATATATATATATATATATATATATATATATATATATATATATATATATATATATGTATATATATATATATATATATATATATATATATATATATATTTAAAGATAAATTTTGTACCTACAAATATATCTTTTATATATATATATATATATATATATATATATTTAAAGATATATTTGTAGGTACAAAATTTAATGATAGAAATAAAAGTGTAAACTTAATATTACTAGACATTAAAATGGGCGTTTTTAATATGTCTAGTAATATTAAGTTTTTACACTTTATATATATATATATATATATATATATATATATATATATATATATATATATATATATATATATATATTTCAATTAAAAGGTGCAATTATAATTTATAAATTCACGAATCATTCATACAAAAAAAACAAATATAGGAACAGATGAAAGCTTGTAAAAATTAAAAGACCTTATGCAACTGGAATTTATGAACAGGGATCATATCGTTCATATACAGGTTCGGGGTTGGTGTATCTTATTTATATTGTTTGCGAAGATGTATTCTCGCCATTTCAATCATTAACCTCTATATTTGTTTTTTGTATGAATGATTCATGAATATATATATATATATATATATATATATATATATATTCAAATATAAGAGATGGTATTTATCAATTCACCCACAGGAATTGAATGTGGCACAAGGCCTTTTTTATGTGGGTATGTCTGAGCCCGTAGGCCCAGCCAAAAAATAAAACCCATCTAAACCCGTCCAAGCGGGCTAGTTCCGTCAACCTCCCGAACGAAACCCCACCCTTCGGCGGAGCTTCGTCCGGGTTCCTCTCTGCAAGCAGAGAGTTCGACAGACACCCGACCTGGCAGCTCACAAAGCGCAGATACTACACTTTGATCCTAGCCACCGGGCCGAGCGTACGGCCACGATTGCAAATATGCCACTAAATCTGGATTCGGATAAGCTTCACGGGTGGGACTTATCTCTCACATAAGAATATGAAAGTAATGAGGGTGATTCGCTACAATGTGCGCGGCTTGAGTGTGCTTCAGCAGTGAAGAGTAGAACTTGTGGAACTAAAGAATGTAGTTCATCTGAACACGTTCCATGGAAATAGCGAAATCATGAGAATGGGGTTGAATTTGTCACCCTCAAAGACGCAGGAACACTTTTAGACTCTATCGAGACTGTAAAGTAAGGACTGTAGATATTGTCCTTATATGGCAACAGTATTCCATTTTCGGTCTGATCTAGCATTTGAGATGGTCGTGGATAGCAGAAAAATGTCAAGTATTTACTGGAGTTCTACAGAGAACCAACTATTGATCCTAGCCTCTTTACGTCTGGGCTGTGTTTAAGTCTCAATAGACGCTCTTGATATGTGGTATCTCTTTCATCCGTTTTAAGGTTGTAATATTGTGTAAAGTGTTTACTCGTGTAACTGAGTTTTCAAAGAGACACTGTCACCCTACATTACGCAGTCAAATGACTTTATATTGGCGACTGCAAACAAAATGTAGCAAGTGCAAAAATTTAAATCTCTGAGAAGTGTTTTGACAAAAGACGGAAAAAGCGGCACCTAAATGCAATTGGCGCATTGGAAAGGTGCCTTCTGAAAGACAAAATATTATTAAACAGGAGAAAATGGTTAGAAACAAAGAAAGGGGCACTAAATTACTATGTAATTTCGGTTCTAACATATAGCAGCAAATATTGGACAGTTTTCTTACTGGTACGGAAGAGGCTTGAGGCAACATGGGTGTGGTCCTACCTAAGGACACTGATCATACCATGGACTTAACATGGGTAACGGGTAAGTTTGAAGAAAAATGTGGACGTCACTGATGACGGGGCGGAGTTGGAAACAGGACAACCGAGTTCCAATTCCAGGTGGCTTCGTTATATTCACTTCCGCGCGAAAACTCTTGGGAAAGGTATGGAGCCACGTCTTCTTTTCCCAGCTATGGGTTAATTAGTACGAATTTTATTGCTAAATCTTTAAATCTTTCGTACAACCTAAAAATATTTTCTTGCCATAAATGACCTGCAAAAGGTTGATAATTTTGTGAAGACCAAAAGAAAATGACGTCCGGGGTATGACAATTAAACTAAACTGTCCTGGGTGTAACGATAAACTGCGTCTAACAGCAAAGCCTCTGATCAAGAGGTTTTGAGGAGCGTGAAACCACCTCTTAATTGCTGGGGTTCTAAGGTCTACCCTGACCAGGGGTGGTAACACCGGTTAGGGTCCCAACTATGGGTACATAGTTAACCACCCAAACTTGGGTCAAAAGACTGTAAAAGTGTAAAAATAGATTTATTACCAGAAATACTTTGTAGAAAATTATTACCAGCAATATAATTTTGAAGAGAATTTATTACCAGCAATACATTATTACCAGCTATAAATCTTTGAAAAAAATACCAGCAATAAACTTTTGAATAATAAATTACCAGCAATACATTTTTGAAAAAAAAAATTTACCAGCAACACATTTTTTTTAAAATTACCAACAATACATTTTTGAAAAAAAATTACCAGCAATACATTTTGGAAAAAAAAAAATTACCAGCAATACATTTAAAAAAAAAAAAATTAAATAACAGCAATACATTTTTTAAAAAAAAAATTACCAGCAACACATTTTTTAAAAAAAAAATTACCAACAAAACATTTTTGAAAAAAAATTACCAGCAATACATTTAAAAAAAAAAAAAATTACCAGCAATACATTTTTGAAAAAAATAAATAAAAAATAACAACAATACATTTTTGAAAAAAAAATTACCAGCAACACATTTTTTTTTTTAAAATTACCAATAATACATTTTTGAAAAAAAATTACCAGCAATACACTTAAAAAAAAAAAAAAATTACCAGCAATACATCTTTGAAAAATATTACCATCTATACATTAAAAAAAAAAATACCAGAATACATTTTTTTAAAAAAGTATATTACCAGCAACAAAAATTTTTGTCGCTATTAAATAACCTATTGAGGTTGATATGCCGTAAAACAAAACAAACCAAACCAAAATGGTAGAGTGAAAGATTTTTATTCATTTTATCTATTGACTATTTATTATTATTTATATATTCGATACAGTACAAGGTTATATAAAACGAAAAAGAGGAATTTGAAGATTGCGATGCGCCATCAGTTCAATTGGGGAGGTTATTCTGGCCTGAAAAATTAGTGAATGCATTTACAACACCATAAATCAAGACGAAT